ACCAAAATACTGCTTGCCTAGTTTGTGGCAGTTTTGGAGTCTGAGGGACAACTGTCGGTAATGTTTGAGCTTTACAAAAGCCCAATCACCAACCTCCAACTGCAAATCAGTCCGGTGTGCATCAGCATAGGTTTTCATACGAATTTGGGCTCGTTGAAGATTCTCTTTTAGCACGGTCAACACTTCATCCCTTCTAAGCATGTATTTCTCAACCAAATCATCTGCAGCAGTACCCAAGATGTAGCAAGATACAGAAGGAGGTTCCTTTCCATATAATACCTGAAAGGGAGTAAGACCTGCAGAAGAGTGAAAACTGTATTGTACCAGTATTCCGCCCAAGGTAACATGGGCACCCACTCATGAGGACTCTCGGAAATAAAGCACCGTAAATATTGCTCAACACATTTGTTTAGTGCCTCAAATTGGCCATCGGACTGAGGGTGGTAAGGGGTGCTCATGGCTAAGGTTGTTCCTTGCAGTCGATTAATTTCCTTCCAAAAGGAATGAAGAAACCTCAGATCTCGATCGGATACTATAACCCTCGGAGGACCATGTAGCTTAATAACATATGCTACAAAAGCTACGACAACAGAATGGGCCGTGAAAATGGCCGACAAAGGAATAAAAACGATCCACCATTGTCATTATTGTGGCCTTTCCCTTAGAACTAGGAAGACAAGTAATGAAATCCATTGCGATTTCTTCAAAAACCACATTTGGAATGGGTAATGGCTGTAAGAGGCCAACATGACTTCTATTATTGTCCTTTATCTGCTGACAGGTTTGGCAGGCAACCACAAAAGCTCGTACATCTCTTCGCATATTGTGCCAATAAAAATTTGATAAGAGACGGTGAAAGGCTCTAGCTATAACAGCATGCCCGCCTATTGGAGAATCATGAAATTCTTGTAGAAGTTGAATACGAATAGGGGAATCAGAGGGAATAACTAATATGCCTTTTAAGAATAAAAGGCCTTCACGGAATACATAGTCAGCATAATTCTCAGATTTCAAATCTATGCCTTGTCTGATGGCAACCGTTTCAGGGTGTGTCTTGGTAGCCTCACGAACTGCATCTACCCAATCAAATTTACTAGCTATTATGGCTAGTAAGGAGCATTCAGGTGGCCTAGATAATACATCAGTTGTTTTGTTCATCTTGCCCGGTCGGTAAACTATACGAAAATCAAACCCCACCAACTTCCCAAGCCATTTTTGCTGCTCCGGTGTTTGAATGAGTTGGTCAGTGAGATTTTTGAGTGATTGTTGGTCAGTGATAATGGTAAATCATCTTCCCAGCAAGTATTGTCGCCATTTACTCACCACCTGCGTAATGGCATACATTTCCATGTGATATGTTGAAGCACGTTGCATCCGTGGACACAATTTCTGACTATAATAAGCTATAGGATGGCCCTTTTGGGAAAGGACAACTCCAACTCCAACTCCGGATGCATCTGTTTCCACATGAAATTCTTGAGTGAAGTCTGGTAAAGGTAGAACCGGGGTACAACTAAGCTTCTTTTTCAAACAATCAAAGGCTTGCTGGGCAGAGTCGCCCCAGAAAAACGATTCCTTCTTCAACAAATCAATTAAGGGGCTAGCAATTATGGTATATTATCGAATGAAACGACAATAGTACCCCGCTAGGCCTAAGAAGCTTCTAACACCCTTAACATCCTTAGGAGTTGGCCACTGTATAATAGCTGAAATTTTTATAGGGTCCACATCCAAACCTTGCTCAGTAATCACATGACCAAGATAGTCAACTTGAGGTTGCGCAAACATGCATTTGGAATGCTTAGCGACCAGTTTATATTCGCGGAGCCACAGGAAAACTTGAGTCAAGTGTTGCAAATAGTTATTCCATGTCTGACTATAGACCAAAATATCGTCAAAGAAAACCAAGACAAAGCGACGCAGGAAAGGGCGAAAAACAGAATTCATTGTAGCTTGGAAAGTAGACGGTGCATTTGTTAAACCAAACGGCATTACTAGAAACTCATAATGCCCTTCATGAGTACGAAATGCAGTCTTCTCAACATCCTCAGGTCGAACCCTGATTTGATGATAGCCGGATAATAAATCCAGCTTTGAGAAGTAAGTCGCACCATGTAATTCATCAAAAAGTTCATCAATAGTCGGAATGGGAAACCTATCCTTCACAGTTATGGCATTTAAGGCCCGATAATCCACACAAAATCGCCACGTACCATCCTTCTTCTGCACCAGCAGAACAGGGGACGAGAATGGACTGGTGCTAGGACGGATAATTCCCTCGGCAAGCATATCAGAAACTAATTTCTCCATTGTTTGCTTCTGAAAATATGGGTAACAGTACTGTTTAACATTAACTGGACCTGAACCTGGATGTCGATGAATGGCATGGTCTTGTGCGCGACCTGGAGGTAAACCTTGAGCTTTGGTAAATACATCTTCAAATTCCTCCAAAAGGGACTGTAAATCCGGTGGCAGAGGAGGAAGTCCCGACTCATCAGTTGTGATCATCATTAAACAAAAATAAGAGGAAACAACCTCAACCTCTGATAGGCGTCGTAATGTTTGTAACTGGACTGGTTGGGCTTCAACCTGCGGTTCTCCAAGCCAGCTGAACTTTTGGCCTTGATAAAAAAATTCCATCATACGAGCCGAGTAATCAGTCAAGATTGGACCCAGTGATCCTAACCATGTAACGCCCAAAGCAATATCCGCCCCTTGCATAGGCAAGACATAAAGGTCCAATATCAGTTCACCACCTTGGATCACTATTGGTGTTTGACGGGCTACGCCCTCACATCGAAGGCGCTGACCGCTGCCAACCATTACCGCAAAAGGCTTTATAGCTTCCACAGGCAGATTGAGAAACTTAGCCACGCGGGTTTGGACGAAATTATGTGTGCTTCCACCATCCACAAGCACCTGCACCGGCGAGCCCGTACATGGCCATTGAATCGAAGAGTTGTAGAAGAACTACCACCGGCCAGTGCGTGGTATGAAATAGCAGAATGATCTTGAACTTCTAAGCACTGAAGTTCTTCAGCAAGGAAATCCTCCGGTGAGAATGACTCAGGTAGCTCAATTGTTGAATCAGAGGACTTTTCAAGAAGGAGTAACTGGGGAAGTGCTTTGCATTTATGGTTGGGGATGTATTTTTCATCACAATTGTAACATAATCCTTTCTCACGCCTGGATTGGAGTTCAGTTGTAGACAATCGTTTGAAAGGGAATTTTGGTAAATGTGATGAAGAAGCAGTAGGCTTAGAGACAACAATTGAAGTTGGTCCAGTGGGGTTAGGTAAAAGAGGTTGGGTCCGAGCGAAAGCAGGACGAATTGGACCCTGGCCATATCAAATTTTTGCTCGTATAAATGGGTCAATCTGATGGCCTCTTCCAATATAGTGGGACCTCGAATTGCCACTTCAGTTTGAATATCCATTTTGAGGCCCGAAATAAAGCACTCAACTAACATGATCTCTGGCAAACGGACTGATTCATTGGCAATAGCCTCAAAGCGAGCCCGAAAGTCCGCAACAGTCGTGGTCTGCATTAGCTTTGATAGCCGACCCTCCGGTGATCTGAGTGATTGATCCCAAACGAATACGAATCTTCCCAGTAAAATGAGGCCAATCAATTAGTTGTTTGTTTCGAAACATCCAGCGGTACCAGTCAAGAGCTTCACCATCCAAATAAAACGAAGCCAAAGAGAGTTGATGATCCGGAAGAATGTTGTAAAATTCAAAATATCGCTCTGCCTGAAACAACCAGGCTTCTGGATTCAAACCATTAAAACGACTGAGTTCCACAGTTGCTGGTTTGTGTCTGAGAGTGAGTGGAGTAGAAGAGTTGGAACCCGGCGACAAACAAACATCAGACGGACGAGGTCGAACCGGCTCGATAGCCGCAGATTGAGCAGCGACAGTTGACATGAACTCCTGGACAAGTTGGCTCAAGGTATCAACACGAGACGATAACTGAGAAACCTCAGAGGAAGAATCAGATGGAATATCAGAATTCTTGAGCTTTGAATCACCCATGGAGCACGAATCAATGAAAGCACCAAATGGAACAAACTAATATTCAACTTAAACTAGCAGTAGCCAACAGTAGATTAATAACAACTGAATGTTTACAATGAAGATTACAGGAATTAAAAGATAGGATTGCAATAAAGACATAAGATAGAAATAGCCAGAAGGGGGATGAGAAGACTCAGAAGAAACTGGGATGAAAAATCAGAAACTGCTACAACATCTTGCTTGCCCACTACTCTGAAACTGCTCGCACATATAACAGATTCAGATAACCACTATTTTGCTTGACACGTACGTTCCTTCCCTTTAACTTAACACATAATCTTGTAAAAGCTTGTTGGGCTGTTTTGTACGCTGGCTTCTTTTAACAGACCCAAGCCCAACTTCACTCTCATTTTGCTGGGCTTCAACCTCTTCCACAGTAACTTGGTCCAATGGATTCATCACACTTGTGTTGCTCTCTGTCAATGTGAGCTTCGTATAGAGGAGTGTTGTGGTAGGTTGACTGACAACGTAAAAATAGTCACAGTGTGATAAATCCTCTAATCATTGGCTTTGTTAGGACGTGCTCAACTAGACATGCGCTATATCTTGTTAAATGGGAAAGAGGTTCCATTACATCTCCGCAACTAGTTTGGGGTTGATGCCTAATTGATTAATTGGATGATTGATTGTAGATGGATTGTGTATCCCATTTATTTGTTCATCTTGTTCAGTCAATTGGACGAAGTGTTGAGTTTATTTCAGGAGGTAGCTGATACCCTTCCTTTTGCTGCCTGTTTTACATTGGGCTGTTAATCCTGCTGTTTAAAAGCTCCAATTTTTAATGCATTAATACATTCTTTCTTCTCTTCCTTGTCTCTGTTCCCTTTTATCACTAAGGATTTTGATGTTTGAGTGTATTTGGACTTTAACTCCACTTGTGATTTGTTGGGTACTTTTGTTTATATGGTTCCTTTTTTTTTACAGGTTCAATGAAGCTTTAGATGGTGTGGTATTGACCTATGAACCAAAGTTTAGTAGCAATTTGGCTAAGATTCTTCCAGGAATTCACCCTTATTTTGGTGTCAGATTTGAAGCAAAATTGCTGCTTTTTTATCCCAAGCCAGAAATGCCATTAGGTAGTCCTGCAACTTCTCATGTGTGTTTGTGGATCAAACACAGTATATGATTTTTTTGGCAAACTTTAGTTCAGTTATTTTCCAGGCTTTTTTCTGGAGGGTGAAGTTCAAAGAAATTTTGTCATAATTTCCCCACCTTCATTGTTCTCCCTTGATTTCAGAAACTCAAAACTCAACTCCCACCCGGAGATAGATAAATAACTATTTAAAAGTGGAATGTCATAGATGTAAGATTGTAAATTCGTTTGGGCTAACTTTGTTTCTTTAATCCTTCTTTTATTTTGATCTTTTCAGAAGGTGAGGTCGTCAAAGTTGGCCAGCAGTCTATTCACATGATTGTTCTTGGTTTTGCTTCTGCCTTCATAGCAGATGAAGACATTCGAGAAGATTTTCAGTATAAAATTGTAAGCACTTTGAACTGATGAGAATTGAGAACTTGAGCTGAGAACTTGAGCTGATACCTGATTTGTCTTTGGATTTGTTTCTCTTTTCGTAGAAACATGGGAAAGAAGTTTATATCAGCAGATCTGACAAGAAACATAGGATCGAAGTTGGAACTACTCTACGATTCTCAGTCAAGAGGTAAGATGTTCTTTGTTTTTTTTTTCCAGCACTCAAACTCTTGTCCTGCATGTACACACTTGGAATTAACTTTCAACCTTAATTTAGAACTTTGCATTACTCTAAATTTGGAAGTGATGCCTAACAATGATAGTATTGAGTACAATAGGAAGAGCCACATTTTTTTCCCTTTCTTCTCTATATGTTTTGTGATTAAATTATGCATCAAGCTCATCCTGGATGCAGAGGACTTCTAGACTCTAGCAACAAATAGCGGTTACATCTGGTCTCAGTATGATGAAGGATGATCCAATGGCACACCTTTTTAAATTGTCCATTTAGGATGGTGTGAAAGCTGTAATCTCATGTATAGCTCAAATGATTTAATTTGGTAGCTCTCCATGAGAATAAATCTATTCTAGGTAGTCACCCTTCAAGAGACGAGATAAACAGATGTTTTGTAGAGGATAGAAGGCTGATTCAAGCTTGTTCCGTTTCTTGTTTCTCATGTCAAGTGTGTTAATGATTCCGATTCTTTACCATTCCATAATATGAATAATGTATCTAATATATGAACTGCTTCTTTTATTGTTTCATGTACTCTAATTGCTTTCTCGCCTATCAAAAGAAAAAAAAAGTCATTTAATTTCTATGTACCAAGTTAACTATCCCTCTGATCTCTGTTGTCCAAAAAATGTATCCACTTTTGGAGAAACTTCTATTCTCTTATCTTCCCATTACTTTTTGAGTATCATATTACCAGTGAGGTGTCATTAGCTCCTTCTTTAAAGTACATAAGACTAAATCTACCGAAAAGATAAGATAACTCCAGTTTATTTAAAAACTGGAGTCAGTTTGACTTTTGCCTCATATTTGTGCTAGGTTGATTTTGTACTTGATTTCTAAAAGTGAACCAGCAATTTAAGTTCATTCTCTTGTATGGGACATTGGTCAAAAGTATAGTTTTTTAACTTTGCTGCTTATATGAATTAATGGTCGAATGAAAATGTGAATTATATGAGTAAATAGAATTTACATTATATGATCAGAACTGAGCCAAAGTGATCTTCAAATACTCATAGAATTTACGTTACACGATCTCTGTGAAGATTGGTAGTCTAGCTTAAAGACAAGCCTCTTATGTTCATTTTAAAGAATAAAATCCATTACTTGCAAGGTGCAGACATAATTTTTCTTTTATTTGAGATGTAAGTCTCTGGTTGAAATAGCTTGGAGGTGACTTTTGTCTTGTTTACTGAAGGTAAGCTTATCTGCTTGGTTGTCTTTAACATTTTATTTTAAAAAGTTTGGTTGTCTTTAAAAAATTCTCATGGTTTGAACAACTCTTAATCTTTTTCCTCTTCATAGAAGTTCTATAAAGGGGAAATTAATTTGATCGTAAAAGAAAACAACAAGAGTCAGAGGTAGGGAGAGAGATAGTTAAGAATTATTTTGTTCATCTAGGCCCGATTCATGATGTAAAACAAAGAGCAGCATATGCATGAAATGTGACAACGATGAAATGTGAGTTTGCTGCAACATTTCAGAAACTGTGTAGTTCATGTATGGGGTTAGAATTTATGCTTATCGATGATGTGTAATTCTATGCCTGGAAAACACCTTCCCCTGTGTCCATTTAATTACTTAATGAAATGGCTTTTAGTAGAAGTGATTCTCCATTGGAAGTGATTCTCCATTGGAAGTGATGTTACTGTCACCAGATCGATGTTACTTCTCTTTTTCTTTTTAAATTTCTTTCTATTGCTTCCACTAATTATCTTAGATGCATGGTGAACTGGTGAAGTCACTTGTGAGTTTTTTGTTTTTACTAGCATGGCTGGATCTTCTTTCATGACCAAGAGAACTTGGTTTGTATGTGTTTAAAATTATTCTTGTGTACTTTCAATGAGCTATAGTGGCCCTAACTTGTTGGGTTGTTGTTGTCCTCACAAATAATTTGCTGAGTTTGCATGTTCAGAAATTATTGTTGTGGTTGGATAGGAATCCTTACAATGCTATGCATTTCATTGCCTTTTTGCTTCTTCTTTCAGCTCTGCCTTCTATTTTTATTTTCCTGGATAACTTAACCTGCTATCGTGTTTTTTTTTTGCAGTTTTGATGAAGAGATGTTGCATGTATGTGGGTCATTAATTCCAACTAACACGGGAAGTGTTCAATGGTTGGAGAGGAAGGCAGAAGAGTCTCAAGCTGACAGGTTTGCAAGCTGTATAATTTTATTCACTTATTTATTCTATCACTGTGCCTCATACATTGTTCTGATACTGCAGTGTTACTGAAAAGAGCATAAGCAACAAAAGGCCTGTTGAAGTGCTTGAGACTGATAACTTAGTGCCCTACTCGGAAAAATTGAAATCCGAAAATCATATCAAGAAATCGAGAAGATCTAAAAACAGAGATAGCTGAATGTGCTAATTGTATGCATACATCAAGACAATTTTTTGATAAGGTATTCATTTCCTTTTCTTTTGTTTTTGTTTCCATGTCTCAGTTATTGTGCTCTTTAATTCTCTGTATTTGTTGATCTTTTCGCTCATTCCCCAGATCTCGAATCAAGTTCCATCCATAGTTCTCCAAAATGTTCTGATCTGACATATAACGCGCCTCCCCCCTCTTTTATTATACTTGTACTTAGCTACATTTACATACATGGAAAGTTTTTGTAGCGCTTCAATTCTCATGCAGTCAAATATTCTCATTTCCGTGAAATTATCAAGCTAGTTTACATGCATTGAATTTGATCTCAGAAGATGAATGCCAAAAACTACGGAGAATTGGTTAACAGCTTGGATGCAAGGTGATATACTCTGGTTTGTGAAGAACGGACTGGTAAATATGGTTGCAGATGGCCACAAGTATACTGGTCTGTTGTTGTCACTGCCCTTGATGGGCAAAGATAGTATAGGAGGAGATAAAATGTTAATTTGCACTATCTATATCAATGTAATCTTCCGATCAAATTTATGCTGCCAATAGCTGTTGCATTCATTTTCTTGTTCTAAATTTTGCTCAATTAATTGATGAGTGATGATTGGTTCATTAATTAAATGTCCAAATTTTCTGTGTATTTGAATTTGGCTCGGTGGGCTGCTCTTTATACTCTTTCAAGGTTTTTGGATTATCTGGCGTGGCAAAAGGATGTTTTTTCTTTTTCTTTTCTGGTTTGACGAACAGTTTTGGGGGGTTAAGTACACAACTAGCCCTCAAAGTGGATAATCTTGAATTTTGTTCCGGCTTGCCTCATGGGCAGAACTTCAAGTTACAAGTGTTGTCCCTCGCTTGCATAGACCGACCATTTGGGCAGGGCGTGTTCTCTGAAGTCTGGATTCTTTAGTCTACCAAATAGCCCAAGAGTGTCATTTCGTAGTGTTTCTTGTGTATAGTGTCTTTGGAGGCTTCTAATTTGTGTGCGCAAATTTTTGAGCCCAAAAGAGAACTGTATACGAGTTTATTACTTATACAAACTCTACATTTTATTAATGAACCATATTTAATACTTAGGCAGAGAAAGTTCACTATCGAATTTATTACTCATGTATGGGTTGTTGAATAGCGAGACATATGATAATTAGTCAATCACTGCTTAATTTAGTTATCTTAGCATTACGTTTTCTTTGAACATCCTTCATTAAGGACTTAAAATTTTAGTTACCAAAAAAAGACTCTAAAATTTCCCCACAAATAGCTGGATATCTAGATGCATATTACTCCAAAATTATCAAATTAGAAATTGCACATCAATTGAGAGTTTGAGACCGTCACAGCCGTAAACTCAATTAAGCAAATAGTCAGATTTTTTTTCCTCCCGACTTTCCATTCAAATTATTTTCTGGTATGAACTCTAATTCATTTTCTCCTTGATTCTTGTAATCATGCTCTATTGAATTTACATTATTTTAAAGATTGAATCAATTAAAGTTGCTACGCTGACGTAAGTTACTTCAATAATTAAAGCGAATTAATTGACATATCTTTTGGCTTTGGCAATGGTTTTAGTATAGAAACTGTTTAACTGTCAATGGGTATAAATTACACCTTACATATATATTGATGCAACAGTACTGTTCTTACTTGATAAAGATAATTTTTTCTTTTCTTTTTTCCTGTAAAAAATTGTACATCGAAATAAGCCGAATTCAAACTGAAATAGCAAATACCCAATAAGTTCGTCATTTCTTCACCGCCCGAATTTAACATTAACAATGTAATAAAGATGATCACGATTTAGAAGTAATCCAATTCATTTTTAATCTAATCTAGGTTTAATTTCGACAAAAGACAAAAGTTTGTTGGATAAATCTTATCTATGCGTAGGCCAATCTTGAGACAAGAACCATAAGTACCCCTAATTCAACAATTAGCACCGCATATGAACAAAGTTAATTAGATATGTTTAATAATTCTCAAATTAGAGAATTGAAATGCATGTGGTTGATGCATATAAAATCAAATCCAACAATGCATAGCTGCTATTCATTGAACATCATATGAGGTTTCGCACACTTTAATACTACAAAATTATTTACTACCGATCTGCAAAATGTATGCATGTTTTTTTTTTTTTTTTTTTTTTTTTTTTTTTTTTTTTTTTTTTTTTTTTAAATGTAGTTGTCGTTTGTTTTAATTTAGGTACGAACACCACGTGAGAAGATGTTAATTCCGAGTATATAGAAACATCAAGATTTATGTAATATTGCTCTTATCTTATGTAAATTTCGAATTTTTAATTTTGATACAGACTTTGTATTCAAGTGATCAAACGTTTTACCAGAAAAGTGCGTGAACTAATTATTATTCAGTTCAAATTTTTGTTCAAAATGAAGGGGCTATGCTAGAATAATAGGTTAGGAGAACATTTATTTCATGTTTGGCACCTAAGTTAAGGAATGTTAAAGATAAAGAAAGAAAGGGCATCCTCGCACATGGGTCTTGGTCAAATATTGAGAACCCCAACAATTGTTAATGTTCATCATATAGAAACATTATTTTTTTTTATGGAAAGTGAAAAATATAATACTAAAGGGGGCAAGACATGTAGGTATCGATCCAAGTCCTAACTACCACCAGAGAATATACAGTTTACTGTGCTTAATTAGAAGCGTCATTAATATATTCGTTTTTAAATAAGATGTTAACACAATTTAATATATAATATTTGAATATCTTAATACCCTTTCCAAATTGCACTGTCACCCGATCAACAATATATCTAAAGATAGGACAAAGGTGAGAAGTCGTGTTGCCCTTTCAACAAATAAATTAAGTATATTGAATGTGGAGACAAAATCTTACATTGAAAGTTGGTAAGGAAAAAAAACAACATATTATAAGAAGTATGGATATATTCATAATGGTGCGAGATATTTTATGAAAAACTCTGTATACGTTTAGCAAAAATAACAATATCACACTCCGTTAAGAGGATTTTTGATGGCCTTATCCAAGCATTTTTTTCGCTGTTTATATAGATTAAAGGAAAAAGAAAAGAGGAAATGAACATGTGAATGGTTTTTTAGAGTTTCAACTTTCGACAGGCCGTGCGTAGAAAAGCACAGGACCACCACCATAGCTGTTCTATGGTGTCTTTTACTTCGGTCTGGGATTCTATTACCAAAACCAATCCAAAGTCACATGAAATTTGCTTTAATTACACAGCTTTTTCCTCACTTTGAAGTATGATAACTTTACTGCAAAAATGATGTTGGTTTTGTTTTTTCTGGGGGTATATGATCATATATAGCTTGGTTTAATAGAAGATAAGATGGTTGAGTACTGTGCCAAATAATATACCAGCAAAAGCTGTGCTTTGATTTATGTTTTTTGAATCTGGAAACGGCAAGCTGCTGGTTTCTTTAGAACCCACTGAAACACAGCGTAAATAAGATCACTGGTTTAAGTTATATACTAGTGTACATATTTTCCTTACTAAGTGTAGACCTGTGTACTGCAGCAGGTTAGTTATTGTTATTATCAGATTATTAGCTGCTCTTCCTCTTCCACTTTATGTGACAAGGTTCGGAATACCAGGATAAAAATACTTAATTGTCAGTGTGAATTCGTATAAATTCTTTAAGATTTTAAAAATGAAATTACATTTTTAGGAATTACATAAAAAGTACTTTAAGTCATAAATAATTATTAATATTTAATAATATCTAAGAAAGCGTGGTCAAAGAAGAACCTCTTTGATTCCCCAAATAGTAATGTTGCCACATAAATTTGAATAGAGAAAGTATAATATTTACTTATAACTGATCTAGTTATATAAATATTTTTTGTTCGATTGATTTCATTAAACTTAAATTCCTCACTCACATCTACGTATCATATTGTCTTTGTGTATGACCTAAAACTGAGTAGGTAAAGTGGCCTTTTGCATCTACTTAAATCATTCTAAAAAATTAAAGCCAATCCTCATAGAAGATGCTTTTTTACCTTTCATTTTGCCAAAACAGTAGCAACAGACAGTTAGATTGATGTAAAATGCACTATATATCATGCTCCAAACTTAGTTACAGCCTATTTAAGTGAAAAGTAACTGGCTAGCTTGTTCTCCTAATTTGTTGAAAGCTGATTTATCTGTTCCTAATTTCAGTAATAATGACACTTTAAGATCTAAGTTTTGAATCTTAATGAACTAGACAACGACGGAGAAAAGAATAGCAAAGTTACAAAGCATCATTAAAACATGAAAATGAGTCAGCCAAATGGGAAAGCACCACCTATTTTTAATTACTGTGGTAAGATATATAGCTAGCTATTTTCTTTTGTTCTTTTAATTTTTTCTTCTCGGTTTGAAGCTAAGGGGCGTTGTTGTTTCACTAGAATCTAGATAAACCGAGAGTGAAGAATGCAGCAACTCTAATCTTAATTTTATTGGGTAATATTAATTTCATACCGTGATGACGTACCAATATTTTTTCAGCATATAATAAATATTCTTTTAGTTATATGATGTTTTTTCATAGGAGATCCATAAAATATAACACACAAAATCGATAATAAAACACGCAATAAAGTCTTTGTAAAGCAAAATTGTACTTCCTCTGTCCCAATTTATATGACGAAGTTTGGATTTTGAGAGTTAAACGAATTTTTCTTTGACCATATTTTTTTTTTTATGTTTTTTAGATATTTTAAATTGTTGATTATTTTGACTTATAATACTTTTTACGTAGTTTCCAAATATATAAAAAAAAAATTAAGAAACTTAAAAATTCTATGTCCGAATTAACGGGCAAAATTAAAAAATTTGTCTTTAGAAATTCGAGTTCCTTCACTAAATTGTGACATAAGGATGAATTGGTTACAGTAATAGATAATTTCCATTTGTTGTTTAAATAATCTATGGACAAATATTGAACCTTATTAGCGTGGCAGTAGTTGTGAATTCTTTCAAACTAAGGGTACTTACAAACTCATATTCTTATATATACCCACACCTTTCCCAGCATGGAAAACCTCCACTTTTTCACCCAAACACTTCCACACATTAGAAAACTGAAAAACATCAACTGCAACACAAAAAAAAAAAGAAAAGAAAAGACATAATTTTTTCTGTAGAAAATGTCGGGCTGCAGAAAAATCTGCCACATTGTTAAGCTATGCCAAAGGCTGCGGCGGTTGAAGAAGAAGGCAACTATGTTCATCCGCCGTGTCCAGTCCGATGTGCCTGCCGGACACGTGGCAGTCACAGTGGGAACGAATTGCAAAAGATATGTTGTACGCACCACCTACTTGAACCACCCTGTGTTCAAGAAACTCCTCTCTCAAGCTGAGGAAGAGTACGGTTTCAACAATTCTGGCCCCTTAGCTATTCCTTGCGACGAGACATTGTTCGAGGAGTTACTATGTTATTTGGCCCGTTCTGATTCCAAGAACAACAACAAAAAAAACATGTCTTTGTTCATAAGGTTTGAAGACTTTCAGAGCTACTGTCACGTAGGAATCAGAAGCAACTTTGACATTTGGTCTGACTCTAGACCCCTCTTGCATGTCACATGTAATAAGTCCGTCACAATTGGTTAAAAAATGCCCCAAAAAACGAGAAACAAGCGGTCACGGAGAAGCAATGACTATTGTTCATTAGGTCATTTTTGATGGGCCACAAAATTTTAGACGATTCGGGTCGGTCACTCGTATTCATAAAGACCGTATGGACATTAGCACACGAAAAATCGAAAATCGTATTACATTCCTATTTTATGGCCCTAAAACGCCAAAAAACGAGGAGCGGTCGTGGAGAATCAAATTATGACTATTGTTCATTAGGTCGTTTCTGATGGACCCACAAAATTTTAAGCGATTCAGAGCCGGTCGCCCTAATTCATGAAACTAACGTGGACAATAGCACAAAAAAAATTAAAAAATCGTGCTGAATTCTTGTTCGGATCGGATCGGATCAGAGTGGAAATGAAGAACAGAGACAGGAGATCGACGAGATATGATAATTGGTTCTAGTATTTGTATACTTTGCCTTATGAACCCAGAAAGAGAATCGTACTTGTTAGAAATATTTAAAAAGCTAGATTCCATACCATTAACAGAAGAAGCAAGATTGAGTTTTCGATGCTGAGTTTAACATCTTATTATTTACGCGAAAAAACGGATAAAGTTAAATTTATACGTAGTTCTAAGAATACGTGTTATAACTTGATACAAATTGAAAAAGTAAGTAGAAATATATCGAGTTTTGACTGTAAAAAAGGAATGAAATACAAACCCAAATTGAGTAGAGAATGATCTACGAATGAACAAGATGAACCAATGACTAAAGCCCAAAAAAAGGATAATATTTACTATATGTGTATATCTCAACAATCTTTGAAATGTGAAAGTGTATCAATGTCTGAATGTCCAGTCCCTTCTTATAAATGGCAGCCACTCTAATATAATGGAGGAATCTTATTTTGGATATAACTAAAAATATATAGTGGGGATCCCATGATAGATTAATCAATTAGCTTTTCCTTGATTTCTGCCGAGATTCTCTCCCTTAGTGCGGCTATAACGGCTTTGTTGTCCCTTGACTCGAGCTCGATCGGTCTCTAAGTCTCGAGCTCGATATTGACTCGAGCTTTGATTTTCGAGATCGACTTTGACTTGGTTTCGGTATTTGATCGGTCTCTGGGTCTCGACCTCTATCTGGGCTCGATGTCGATCTCAGCTGATCCCGACCTTGGTCGGTTTCTAGGGCTCGAACTCAGCAGCCCGACTTCACGTCATAGCTTGATATCATAATGACGAACCTCAGTCCATCATGCCCCAAACTCGATCAGTCACATGAGGGCAAACTCGGTTTTGACCGTATACAGATAGTCCCTTCGTTTCTCGGAAAGAATGTGGCGAGAAACGATATGACTTTTCAACTTCTGATTAGATACACACTGACGTCTGTGTTGAGCCCGATTGTGACGTACGTGACAAATATCCCGTCGGTTCAGTTATCAAGGCATTAAATGCGCATCAGTCGATGGTCGGCCACTACAAAGTTTGAACCGTCATTGTGAAATCTATAAATAGCCCCCTTCCTTTATCATTTTAAACTTTTACTTTCAATTCTTCTCATTCTATCCTTCACAGTTCTTCGTCTTCTCCCAAATTATCTATTTCCAGGTTCTGAAAATTTCTTTGCTTGTTCTTTACCAAATACCAAAATATTTCAATTTCCCATCTTCTTTGTTCTTTGAAAATTTAGATGGCCAAGATATCTAAAACCGTTCCTCAAAAAGAGGCTGCTTCCTCATCTCGGCCGGCCGATGAGAAATCGGTGGTGGAGCCACGCCTTGAAGAACTCGTTCCCGGGGGATGTGTTATTGATTTTGATTTTAAAGTTGATAAACCCTCTTCGGTTGCCGGTTGATGCGAGCCGGTATCGAGATATATATGCTCGATACCAGTAAGTCTCCTTGATGTGGTGAAGAAAGATTATAATTGGGTAGACAAAGAGGTCGTGATACCGACACCGAAGGAATCGATCACTACCCACATGGAAGGGTATCTGAGTATTTACACTTACCCTTTTATGCTGGGTCCCCTCAATCTAGTCATCATCGATTTTTGCAGGAAATACCAGGTGGCCCTCGGCCAAATTCATCCTTCTTTCTGGAGGATCGTGATCTTGATCCGTTTCTTTGTGAGCAAAATCGATGGGCTTCCCTTCACCCTCGACCACCTTATACGATTGTATAGTCCTCAACTTTACCGAGGCGAGCTGATAAAGCTTCAACGTCGTGCCACCAAGGTGTTCACGTCGAGCATAGATGATGATAAAGATCGGGACTGGATGAGCCGTTTTGTTCGAGTGAAGACCTTGGACCTAATCTCGGCCGAGAGTATTCCATTTCCCGTGAAATGGAATATGAACCGTGAGTGTGATGCCGTTTTTAGTTTTTGTTATTTTTACTTATTCATCTTTTCTTATCAGTGTTCTTTTTGACACAGCCATTGCTTGGATGCCGGGTGCGGTTCCCTATTTCGAGAACTGGGTCAAAAACCTGGTCTCGACGTCAACATTTTTCGAGCGCTCATGGCGCGATTTGTCGAAGGGTCTATGGGAAGCTCGTACTCATGGTAAGCTTTCATCTTGGTCTGCCGATTCGTTTCTCGTTCTAGGTGACATATTTATTCAAAACATGTGTTTACTTATCTTCTCCCTTCGCAGGTCTCGGAAAAGATGCGGTCATGAGGCCCCCGTCTGGTGGTGAGGAAGTTTTACCTCCTGTCTCGAAGCCGTTGAAGGAAAGTAAGAGAAAAAGGACTTCGGATTCCGATGGTCAAAAACCTAAGAAGAGGACAGTCCGTAAGCCCAAGGGAACCACAATCCCATTGATTATGGAATCAGTCCTGCGTCTAAGGGATGAAGAAGAAGAAGAAGAAAAAGATAACTCTGGACTGGTGGCCCGTGCTCGGGCTGGCACCGATATTTGTAAAGCTTTGGTACTGGTGGGGACTGATTCTGCTTCACCCAGGTCCGACAAGGTCGAGGAGAAGACTTCGAACCGAGTTCCCGAGCAAAGGGGGACCAAGGATGTTTTACCTCGGGGCAACAAATCCGTCGAAGAGGTGGTTGATGATGGTACAGGAACCGAGTTTGAGGTTCCCCGAGATGGAGGCGGCGTCTCGAAAGACATAATGGGGGCAATAGAGATCGGCGATTCCCCTTCTTTTCCTTCATTTTCATAGTCTATGATACATGACGCCCAAGCTGTGGAGGTTTATCATGGGGAGGGAGCCCATGGAGAGGAAGTTCCTTTTCGTGGTTATTTTGTTGGAGTAGAAGATGCTACCGGTCCGAGCGATTTGGAGGCTTCGAAGAAAAGCTCGGGCAAGGCGGGGATTCCTCGTATATTCAACGAAGCTCAGCTGGCCCTGAATCAGGTAAGTTCGATTTCTCTTTGTCAACTTTCATACTTGTATTTTTCTTCTTTTATATAACTCCTTTTTATTTTTTGTAGGCTTCTGCGCTCTATCACGAGGTATTTTTCCGATCCCGAGGGGAGCTAAGCCTGTTCGAAGCCGAAATTTGAGGGCTTACTGAGGATAGAGATACCTTCAAGCTTCTCAGTGAGCAAAGGGAAGGAGAAGCAAGAGGACTTCGAGTCGAGCTAGAAACAACTCGGAAAGAACATACCAATTTATCCGAGCAGGTAAAAAGAGTCTTTGAAGTTAATGACACTGATTTGGGCGTGAAGGCTAGCAGTTCGATCCGGCAGGTTCAACAAAAGCTCGAATGATTGGTCAGCTTCGCACCGAGGTGGATGTAGTGAAAGCGGGGGCCGGTGAGTTGAAAAAGAACATGGACCACCTTGCTTCTGAAAAGGAGGCTGCCCGGGCTCAATTGGCCTCGGTCGAGGCCCAACTCCGAAGCTCGAAAGAGAGAGCCTTGGTGCAAGTGAAGAATATCGAGGAGTTCCAGTCTCGGTTGGGCTCAGTGACTTCTGATCGAGAGAGACTGGCCTCGGAATTGGCAGCGGCCAAATCAGAGGCCGAAATAGCCATGGCTAATGCTGGTGCAATGATGGCTATTTACCGGTCCGATGCTGAAGCCGCTCAGGTTCGGGCAAAAGAGGTTGCCGAGGCATCTCAAGCTCGAGAAAATTGGGTTGCCGAGCATGCTAAATACCAATCTCGGAGGGAGACTCTAGAGGAGATCCACGCTCGTGGCTTTGATCTTACAGCCGAGATCGAGAATGCAAAAGAGCTCGAAGCCGAAGCCAGAGTGTTGGCCTTTCCCGATGATGATGATACCGAGAGTATGAGCGGTTCTGAGAGTGAAGGAGGTCTCGAGGGTGAAAATGCTTCTCCTGTAGAGGACTAAGTCCTTTCAGTATTTTTCTTCTTTCTTTTAAGACCGTTATGGTCTTTTGTAGAAAAACATGATTGGGCAATGATGCCCTTGTAAATGATTTCTGGTATATATAAAATATTATTTCTTTTATGGCTTCTGAATCTTTTGCCTTTCTTGTTAATTTATACAAAGGTCAAAAAGTGCCTTAGCACGGGATAATTACTTGAAGGTCCGAGTGAATGTTCGAACTCGACCTTTTCTTTTAGGTAGTCCCCGAGTGAATGTTCGAACTCGAACTGAGATAGCTTTTAGACTTGACGAATAGATTTCAAGTGAAATGATTTGCTCGAATTCGAGCTAAGGTAACCTTTAGGCTTTTCGGTTGAGTGAGGGTGATTTCTCGAACTCAAACTAAGGTAGCCCTTTAGGCTTTTTAATCGAGTGAGTGTTTGCTCGAACTCGAATTAATGTAGCCTTTAGGCTTTACGGTCGAGTGAGAATGATTTCTCGAACTCGAGTTAAGGTAGCCCTTAGGCTTTTTCAGTTAAGTGAGTGTTTGCTCGAACTAGAATTAAGGTAGCCCTTAGGCTTTATGGTCGAGTGAGTGTTTGCTCGAACTCGAATTAATGTATCCCTTAGGCTTTACGGTCGAGTGAGAATGATTTCTAGAACTCGAGTTAAGGTAGCCCTTAGGCTTTTCAGTCGAGTGAGTGTTTGTTCGAACTCGAATTAAGGTAGCCCTTAGGCTTTATGGTCGAGTGAGTGTTTGCTCGAACTCAAATTAATGTAGCCTTTAGGCTTTTCAGTCGAGTGAGAATGATTTCTCGAATTCGAGTTAAGGTAGCCCTTAGGCTTTATGGTCAAGTGAGAATGATCCCTACACATAGAAATACCAAAATTTAGCACAAATAATCATATTAAACATCTCAAATCGTCGAGACATAAACAAAATGTGAGGCGATATATATCAAAATATCCATACATTAAGCCGATTATCAACACCCACACTTAGACTCTTGCTCGTCCTCGAGCAATGGAACTATATTAACACCCCCAAAATGTACTTAGCACTATAAAAGAGGACTTCACAAATAACTCAATCAAACACCCTGCCTTTTGACTATGATCGATGTCGGCAATTAAGCATGAACACACAAATTTCACATTTTTTCCATTTTTTAAATAGCCCAAGTATACTCAATATTATTCAACCAGCTCAATCAACTCAAGAAACTTCTCCACAACCACCTTACCTCAAGAGACGACTCATTACCACTAA